CACAGAAAATCCTACCTTCCGCTAAACCCCGTGATTAGTTTATTAAACCGTCACGGAGCTGTCCCCGAGGGCTGTGCTGCTAAGACCAGGTGCAGAGCAGCACCAAGTTGCTGTTTTGCTTTCCATGCACGGCGCATGCTCCCGCTGTCCGGCAGCACTAGTTTTGGGAATACAGGAGTATCAATTTTGGGGACAGGTTGAAGATGACTGCATCAGTGTCTGCTTCAGTTAGGAAACATCCATATCCTTGAGGGCACATTCCGATATGAGGTTGTCCATGAAACCCTGGATGCACAGGAGAAATTATGACAATTTCCTGACAGACTTAGTTCTCAACAATGTCAAATTCAAGTCAAAATTTAGCTTTTAGTCTCAAAAATATCGCACGTTCATTATCCTCTTCTCCTGCTGATACGAAACTTTCCATTGCTCCTCACTTCTAGCTTCTACCTCAACATTTTCAGCTGCCTTGAGTACAGCAGTATCCAGTAATCGCAAAATTGAAGGTCCCACGCTGATTTTCTTCTTCTACTTGCACTAAATGAGAAGACTGAGACCATGGCAAAACTTTTTCCTTAGAAGATTCCCACTAAAACAAGACTTCATGACAAGTGAAGTGCCAAATGACACTTCATTCAGAGGATTTCTGAGTTCTGAGAGGATTGCTTCACTTTAAGGTTTGGAAATCTTAGGTAAAACCCCAGCAATCCTCCTCTATTGAAACCTGGCTGAAAAACTGGTGGCATTGCCTCTCTCCTCAAAGATTCAATAGGATCACAGTGATCTCATTTATTTTGCAAAACAGTGAGATGTTTATGAATGCCACCATACTTCTTATAACTAGAATATGATGTATTAAAATACTATTTATGCTACACTGTACCTATGTTTAAACAGAACATTTACCAAGATATTTTATTATGCTATTGCTTTGTTTGCTGTGTTGTTCAGAGAAGTCAGTGCCTTGCGCATATTCACCTGCTCTAATGTGATCGGCGTCCATCAATTTAAGATATCTCCACTTTTGAATGGATTATCATGAACAAATACACGCCAGGCCATGAGAAAAGGATATTAAAAAGTTCTCTGGACTGACAACTGATGAAAACTGCATCCCCTTTGCTAATACACTGAAGTTGTTAAGCCACATGAGCTTGCAAATATCCAGTTTCTTTTAAACAGCGCCGCAGGAAGAGGAAGAAGGGAAGGGAGCTGCTACGTTTGCTACAAACTCATAAAACCTTATTTAACTACACTAATCCTACCAATAAAAGCTGTATATGCAATCCAGTTGCCCAACGGATTTTGTCCATTAAAAGCAAATGCAAAAGGAGGTAAGAGGTCTTTGGTATCTAAAGATGCTAAATTGGAAATACTCCACCTGTTGCCAGGTTAACTGGGGGGAGAATATCAGGTTTTCTGAGAATAAGCGTGTGTAATTATATGTATGATATCTATATCATCTGTGCCCTATCGAAGTTTTCAAATGAAAGCTAAACAAGATATTCAAATTCCCATTTCACCATCCAGCAAAAACGCAGCATTTCAACAATATCCCACCTTAAACTTCCACACATGCTCTTCAGCCTTTTCCTAGTGCATCTTCAAAGAGACATTTTATTTTTTTTATTTTCCTTGCATAACTTTTCAAAGGCTGCTCAGGGCTCAAGTCCACCTTGGTTCATCAGTAGGTACCACAAACTTCTAAGCTCTCCTCTCTCACAGATGACACTAAATGAGCTCTCAGTGCCCTTGGCCCTTTTTTTGCACAAATATCCCGAAGTCCCATTTTCTGCTCTGCTTCTGTGAACAAGAGGCAACCACCTTCTCATAGTTACACATTTGCCAACTAGTCTCACTTTTAAATCCCACAGGCACTTCAGGAACTTTCCTTATGTCACTTCTGAAGAAGTGGTGATGTTGGAAATACTAAAAAGCAGTAATCTCATCCAACAACCAAACAGACATACAGTAATGGAAATAATTGCTCTTTTCCTGTTTGCTGAGTGCTCGGAAACCAAGGAAGCAGCAGCCTTCCCTGCTAATGTCTAGGGATGGGCAAAGAGTGTATTAAGTTCACCAGGTGCCTCCTCCATTAGACCTCGCTAGCAAATCAAAGCAGACTATGGGAGTTTTATCTCTGTTATCAGAACCACGGAAAGAAAAGACAGCAGAAAAGTTCTCTATGGTTTCTCGTTATTCATGTAACCCTTTGGCTTATCCCCAAAGGACGAGCAATAGGCACCAAGGGAACACCTCACAAAGTTTACAAAGAAAATTAAGAATATATCATTTAAAGAAAACACTGCAGTATTAACAGACTGCAATACCTACGGTACAACTTGTTTCTAGTGGACTGAACACATTTCACAATGTATTTGACTTAAGATGACCAGCTCAGCACACTGCTGTGGACCAAACTGGGTTTATTTGGAGACAGGAATTCTCTATTTGTGTTATATTCTTGTGTTATATTCCTAAAAGCTGGTAGCTGAGGGCTGCAATCGCCCTTCACTCCAATTACTCACGCAGTCAGGGTGGCACGTACCTGCATCGAACCCATTTATTGTTTGTGAATTATTAAACAAGCAGCTCGTCGCACACAGCGAATTGAAACTTCCTCCTCCTTCGGGTGGAGGATTTGCAGCTGTGCAACAGAGCTATCAAACAGCTGAATTTGCATTTCTTTTCTGAATTATTTTGTAAATCTAAAATAGCAAACCATATTAAACTCAGAGCGGGGGGGAAAGGTGACTGGCACCTGGTGGTTGCAAGAAATCATATCATTTATTATAGCTCGTAACTTGCAATTAGCACCTGTAAACTGGCAAGATTAACAACGATCTACAAAAAGCTATTTGGTAAAAATTAAGGTAATTACAAACACTTTCTAGTCTATACTTAAAAGCAGAAAAAAAGATACCCAAGACACTAGCACTAAGAGAGACCGAGACAAAATTTCGGCATTTATCTGGAGAAAGAGCATTGTCTCCTCAGCACCCAAGACACTCGCTTCAGTGTTCACTGAAGCCCTATCCAAGCTTAAATCCCTTCAGTTCACTAGATGAGAGATTTAATTTTAAGCCTGAAATTACTTAGGAAGAATTATATCTCCCATCATTACTGAATTAAGGTAATACAGATTTGCTGGCTGAGAAGCCAGGTGCCAATCAACAAAATGCATTGCATTTGCCAAACCAAATATTATCCAATCTTGAGCGCGCAGATCGAGACTCAGTTACCAAACTCGGCGGCATTACTCAGGACTGACACTAGCAGCCCAGACAACATGAATTCTGTATAAAGAAAGCAAATGCTCTCCAAATTCTGCTTTGATGCCGTCCTACGTGCTGAGCGCGAGCAGAATTAACTGCAATCAGGTCAGCACGCAGGACCGCTAAGCAGATAAAATTTTTCTTTTAGTTTTCTACTCAGAAATAAGTTGAGGCGTGTTAGATTTGAAATATCTCACTAAACCTGTATTCAAAGCACTTCCAAATGCTTGCCGTAAGAGGACAGGTAATGCATTATTTGCTCTGGTGGCAAATAGAGCGTGGATCGTTTAGAAAGACATCTCACAGAAAGCAAAACAACCCCATCAAGATCACATTTTAAAATATATTACCAAATACCTAACAAAAGTTTATCAACTTTGTTCAGTTTAGCTTATTATGGCAGGTAATGAACCGAAGGTTTAAGAGATTAGCCAAAGGGCCAGAATAAAGCTCCCCAAACCAAATGTTTATCGCATTAATAAATTACCTTTCTTTGACTGCAGATATCTCAGAGCCCTTATCAAAGCAGGCCAGATCCGCTTCATTTCCCTAAGGTTACACTGGCGAACGGCAGACGGGGGATCCATCAGCCGCTCCGACACAAATACAGCCCAAGCTATTCCTCTTCTGTCCTATTTTTTTTCTCTTTGGTGGAGGAGATGCGGGTTTTTTCCTGAAATGATCCCAGCTGACTGAGTTGGAGATGCTGCATCTCTATCCTCTTACAAAACCACTGGTGCCCACTTTCTCCCCCCAGCAGGGACCACAAGGGACCACGAGGCCCCTCTCCAGCTCCCTCCGCAGACCCTGTTACCGGGAGGCAGGGATCCCCCCTTGTTCCCAGAGGGGCTGGAGCTCAGAGGCAATGGATACCTCCTCCAGGACCTGCCGCAGGCATCGCCTGAAGGGATAAGCTGCCTGTTGCAGGGAGCTTCTGGAAGCTGTGCCCATGGAAGCAAAGGGATGTCCCCCAGTATGAACAAGTCCCAAAAAGTGATGGTAACAACCCGCCCTTTAAAAAAAATGAAATAAAAGATTTTTCTGTCCTACTTACACATGCTGAAAATTGCTCTTCAGAAAGCATGTTCATCCCGACACTGAGCTCCCCAGGAAGGGGGTGAAGCCCAGCTCTGTCCCCTCACTTCACTATCCCACGACACCCCAGCAAGAGGCACCTCGAGGCGACCGCCCGCCTGACGAAACAACCTTTAGGAGAAGCGGGAACTCGCAGAAAGTTCTGCTCACAGCCAGCTCCGCTCGACACTTGACAGTCACTTTTCCATCTAAAGGGACATTTGATTCCGAGGCTACCAGCAGGATTTTGAGCCTAATCCCAGCTCTGTCTCCTCCTCCTGCAGCTACTCCCACCCACAACCCCCTTCCGGATTATAACCAGGGAAGCAACAACACCTGGCGACTCAGGTTAAGCAGCACCATAGGAGCAAGTCTTACATTTCCAGATAAAATGAAGTATGACAAAAATTAACCTCCATTCCCAATGATTCTGGCAAGCGAGGAGAAATAAGTAAATAAATAATAATAAGGCAGCATTACAAGCACCAGGTGAAAGCAGATGGAGCCGACTTGCTTCACGCTACAACTGCGTGAGTGGAATTAGAAATAGCGAGTTCTGCTTTCTCTCTCCTTAGATAGGAAAGCTAAAATAAAATAAAATCAGCCCTCCGAGATGGGCTAGCCGAGGTGGGGAGCAGGGGAGCCGTGTACCTTTAGCCCAGCAGGCGGGGAAGGGGCTGCAGCCGCTTCTCTCCATGCGCGCGGCACCTGCTCGGCCCGGGGCCCGGCAGG